ATTCAAATTTGTCGAGGCTGTCTGTCGCTTTGCCAACCCCCTTTCTAATATACCATAGACATCTTCTTTGTGTAGAACAACAACCTCACGCAAGCCCTTTATAATAAGTGAACCTTTACGTGAAGTGTCATCAAATAAAGAGAGCTTAGAAGGAATATCGTCGCTACTCAGCAAATCAAAGAGTTCTTCATTGTACAACTCCAAGAAGGAAACTCGAACAGAAGCGTCACCATTAGGCTGACAGAAAATATGTGAAAGTAGACTTACAATTGATTCTAGAGAATTAAAAATGTGACTAAGAGCTCGAGGAACGAGGCCAGCGACAGGATCCGTTTCCCAACCATATCGAAGTGTATCTGATCGTTCACCTGTCATTGTGTAGGTTTTCCCACTACCGGTCTGTCCATATCTACATTAAAATGAGTATAGTCGGAATAAGGAACACAATTTGATCAGCGAATCGTAATATGAACAAAAGAATCAAATAAGTCATCAATGTAAATGAAACGAAATGTGAAATTTTATCAAACCAGGTAATATGAGTCTAAGCAAGATAAAAGGTTAAAATAAGGCTATGTAAGAGAAATAACATACGCAAAAATTGTGCAATTGTAGCCTTGAAGCATTTCTTCAACAAGAGGAGCCAGAATCGATTTGTAGACCTCATTTTGTTTTGAAAATGTGCCAAAGACTCTGTCAAAGCAGTAGGTTTTAGTTCCAGATCTATCTGAGATAACTACTTTTCCGTCGTTTGTGCAGTGTACCGCAGTAGTAGAACCCTTACTTTCCTCATATTTATTTAACGGCCTAAAGGGTAAGGCTTTAATATAAAATACCTGCAGCGTACTACTACGCGGATATTTTGGCCCGAATCTTTAGGGGACATATTAAGGAAAATTACAAAATATAACGAGCGCGCCGGACAAGGAAGGGAAACCGCACACGTTCAAACTAGATAGATAATGTTACAAGTTAATATGCTATTAAAAAAACAGATAATTCTAAATAAGTTTTATTTAATTGCTACAGTTTACAAAATTTTAAATATATGTGGGATGTGGTCTTCACTCTGGTTGAGTCAATATTTTAGGAGGCAAAGCTGAGGAAAATTCAATAAGGAGAAATATATTCTTTGTTATGGAAATAACTTTAAGCTACTTAGCGTGACTAAGGTTTTTCCGTTATTCACTTCCACCTCTCTTATTCATCCACATTAATCATTGCCTTAATTTTAAACAATAAATAGGCAATGTATTTGATTACAATACCAAATATAACTTTGCTTCTTCGTTAACCAAACAACAGAAAATCGGATGTGGGAAAGCTTTGGGCTTTCCTGTAATTCACTTTTGTACTGTTACCTAAGAGCCCCCATAGCAATATGTCGCAGTGCTTCAGTACTAGGTTTCGACTCCCGCTATATGGAATTCAATGGAAATATGGGGCCTACTAGATTATTGCAGAAAAATTCAACTATAATTCCTTCATTACCTAAATCAAAATTGGATTAATACATGAATATATCAAATTGGTAAAATTTCTAAGACTTGGATTTATTAGTTACACAATTTTATTGCATGTCATTTTTTACTTAATTCTAGGTTGTATGGTGAATAG